GACTGAGGCGGAAGGATCACTGGAGCCCAGCAGGTCGAGGTTGCGGTGGCCGGGAGCGGCCACTGCACTCCAGTCTGGGTGACAGAGTGAGACTCCAACTCAAATAATAATAATAATAATAATAAATAACCAGGCATGGTGATGCATGACTGTAGTCCCAGATACTGAGAGGAGGGAGGATTACCTTACCCCAGGAAGTCCAGGCTGTGGTAAGCTATGATCGTGCCATTGTACTCCAGCCTGAGTGACAGAGCAAGATGCCAACTCAAAGAAAAAAAGAACAACTAGGAGACTGAGGCAGGAGGAGGAGCCCAGGAGGTTGAGGCTGTGGGAAGCTGTGATCGTGCCATTGCACTGTAGCCTGGGCAACAGAGTAAGATCCCCAAGACAAAAACAAAATACAAAAAAAAAGGATGAAGAAACTGAGGCACAGAGCAGTTTAGTTATCCAAAAGTCACATAGGTAGAAGTAAATGAAAGAGCCAGAATTTCAGTCTGCATGTGACCAACTCCAAAACCCACACTTTTAACCACAAGACACCATCGGTGCTCCCTTCTCTCCGGCTGTTTATCTGTCACTAACCTTTAGCTCTGGGAACAGCCAGCCTTCCTTGTGCTCTGCAAACCCCAGCTGTCGCCAGCTGCATGGCCAACTGGGAGAGCTTGCTGTGCTCTGTGGCCGTCTCTCCAAGCCCCTGTCATCTGTGTCCCACATCCCCCATGTGGGATTATTTACTTGTTATTTTGCTTTAAAACAGAGTTTGGTGAGCCACTGGCCTGATTCACTCTGAGGGTTGTTTTTGTTTGGCCCAGAAGCTAAGAATAGTGTTTATGTTTTTAAAAAAAAACCCACACTAAAACAAAACTAAATGAAAAAAGAACATTTGACAAGAGACCATACGGTCCACAAAGCCTAAAATATTTACTGTTTGTCCCTTTACTGAAAAAGTTTGCTGATTGCTACTCTTTAAAATAACTCACTTTTTCCTTATATAAATCTACCTTAAAGGGAACTTGACTTCCCTGCCATCAGTGATGAACTCGTATCACTTGCTATACAAGAAAGGAAGTTTCTAGAAATTCTAGATTGAAAACCAAATGATGTTATCAGAGTCTGGTCAGATACACTTACTTCCTGAAGTCTCCAAGCCTGTTTCTGGTTCTTTCTATGTTAAGAAAACAAACAACCGGAACCCAGATGTTAGTGGGTGTTTTCAAAGTGCTTAAGCACCAAGTGGAGAATCCTCCTTCAGGTCCTTGGAAGAATTTAAACAAAGCAAAGTGAACATCCCTCCTGTTAAGTGGGTTTTCATTGCTTTGCGTCATTCTTGGGTTCCACGTACATTAACCTCACGGGCCGCCTCACCTGCCTACCTTTGAGAAACTCTCTTCTAAAAACGTGCATTTGTTTTTTCTCCAAAAGCCTTGTTTTCCACGTTTGCCCCGTCATACGTGGATAAAATGTTGATAATTGTTGATAAAATGCTGGTTCCTGCTCTTACCCCCTCTCCCAGGACTTTGGTAACAGAATCTCCAAGGAGAGAGGCCTGGGAATCTGCATTTTCCATAAGCATCCCAGGCAATTCCCAGGAGGGGGCAGATTTTAGAAGCACTGCTCTAAGTCTGGGGGTCACAACCTTGGACCCACATTGGAATTCCCTCATTGGCTTTACAAACCCCCAATGCCTGGTCTCCATGCCCAACATTCTGATCTATTTTGTCTTGGTATCGCCTGGTGTGGTTGCTTTATTAATGCAGCTCTCATTCACAAGCAAGGAGATGCACGCTTCTTAAGGGCTCAGTCTGATGAGTTTTGACAATTGTTAAAATACCCAGGTAACCACCATCTACAACAAGATGGACAACATCCCCAACACTTCAGAAAATTTCCCGAGCCTCTTTCCACTCAGTTGCCACCACCCCCTGCCCCAAGGGCAACCACTTCTGACTTCTGTCACTACAGTTTACTTCCGCCTGTTCTTGGGCTTATGTGAGTTGGATTCACGGGGTGGGGCTGGGTCCAGCTTCTTGTACTCATCACGAGGAACTGGCGGAGAGGCTAGACGCTCTCCCACTGACCCTAGTGTGCAGCCAGGATGAACTAAAATCCCCTGCTCTAGAAATTTCATTAAAAACTTGTAGATTATAGCCACAGTGGCGCACATCTGTAATCCCAGCACTTTGGAAGGCTGAGGCAGGAGGATCCCTTTGAGTTCAAGAATTCGAGACCAGTCTGGGCAACATAGCAAGACCTCTACAAAAAAATTAAAATTATATGTATTTCTCTCTATATATATATACACACACATACATGTATATGTATATGTATATATATGAGTGTATGTGTATATATGTAATAGCATATTGGTAATATATTACAAATTATATTTCAAGCAAAATTGCAAAAAGCAAGAAAGGAAAAGGGAGATTTGCCCTTAGGTGTGCTGTGCAACTTGGGGTCTGTCCCCTTAGCCGGCTACTTCCTGGTGACAATATCCAGCTTTCCCACAGGATGTTCCCCTGCACCCTCTAAACAGATGTGTTTAGTCCCCCTTCCTAGCCCAATGAGCTATCAGTAGCCCCATTTTGCAGGTGAAGAAACTGAGGCAATGCCAGTTCACGTGCTCGGTGCCTTCTCCACACCATCAGCACACAGCTTCGGCTGAGACCCTCACCCACCGTGTGGCCCCCTTCATTCCAGACTTTCTCCCTTCTCCCCTGAAAATTCCTTGCACCAAACCCCAAATCTTCATGCCCCAGTCTCTGTGAAGACCGATCTGAAAAGAAGGGAACCCCGTTTCTTCCTTAGCGGTGACTATGAAGACCACCCTCTGATACCCTCTGCTATGGAGTTGCAGAGCACTTTCAGAAGGCCACTCGGTCCTATGAGCCCCCAGACCCTGAGAATCCCCCTGGGGACCATTCTAAAGTGCAGACCCCCAAGCCCCTTCTTCACTTCTTGGATCTAGATTTACCAGGTTGGCACCTGGGGGTATGTCCTTTAAAAAGTCCCCGCACATGAGCCAAGCACTTGGGAACTCTGACCCAGACCAGGAGGAGCGCAGAGCGGGGTGTTCTTGCTCCATTTTCCAGATGAGAACGTGGAGGATCACCTGGTCAGGTGCGCAAAGGACACTGAGGGAAGCGGGTCTGGGAGACTCCCTGGCTGCCCCGTGCTTGGACCGTGTAGACGGCAATCTGAGCCCCTGCCCATTTGCCCGCGTCGTCCCCGCCCGGAGCTGCCCCAGGCACTGTACTCCCCGAGACCCTGGCCAGCCTGGTCCTCGGTCATGCGCCCTCTCCTCCACCTGCAGATTACGCCACCCTGCAGGCGGTCCAGGCCACCATGATCCTGTCTACCATCCTCTGTTGCATTGCCTTTCTGATCTTCGTGCTCCAGCTCTTCCGTCTCAAGCAGGGGGAGAGGTTCGTTCTAACTTCCATCATCCAGCTCATGTCCTGTAAGTAGAATGGCGGGCTTCCTGGAATAAGCACTCCCTTCCCAGACTCCCAGGAGGGAAGTCAGGAGGAGGCTGCAGACGAGGATTTGGGAAGAAGTTGGCTGCCCTCCTGGGCTGCAGTGGGTCATTCTATATTTGGGAGTTTGGATTCAGGCAGGGGTCAGGGAAAGCATCCCGGAAACATGAAGCCTGTGCTGGGTGCTGGAGAGTGAGTAGGAGTTGCCATCTACAATGTTCTGCCTTGGTCCAGAGGGGAGGGAATAGTGTGCCAGGTGGAGGAAACAGCATGACCGAAGCCATGTTTTGGAAGGAATGAATGCCAGCCAGGGGATGGAGTGTAGAAATGGGGAGGTCAGCAGGAAGTGGGCCAGAGGGGCCAGCAGGGCCACACCCCACAGGGTCTTGTAGGCTATGGTGAGGGTTCGAGGTCTTTGTCCCCAAACAGCTGGTGACAAGCCATCAGGTGACAGAAGCACCCACGTTGGGCCAGGCCTGTGCCAGCTGCTAGACGTAGAGATGAACCAGACACGCTGCCGTGCTGGAGGGTTCAAGAAAGCAAGTGTCTTAGAGCACTTTGTTCTGGTAAAGAATTTTAGCAGGGCCGAAACTGTATGAAAAGGCCACACACGAGCATTTGCCGTTGCTGTAGCTCAGTGGCCACTTAAAACTTTTCTTTTTTTCTGTGGTTTTTTTTTGAGTTGGAGTCTCACTCTGTCGCCCAGACTGGAGTGCAGTGGCCGCTCCCGGCCACCGCAGCCTCGACCTGCTGGGCTCCGGCGATCCTTCCGCCTCGGCCTTCCAAGTAGCCGGAATTACAGGCGCGCATTACCACGCCCGGCTGATTTTTTGATTTATTGTAGAGATGAGGTCTTGCTGCCCAGGCGGGTCTCGAACCCGCAGGCTCAGGCAATCCTCTCACCTCAGCCTCCCAAAGAACTGGGATTACAGGCTGAGCCACCGAGCCCAGCTTTTTTTTTTTGAGTTGGAGTCTCACTCTGTCGCCCAGACTGGAGTGCAGTAGCTGCTTCCGGCCACCTCAGCCTCGACCTGCTGGGCTTCGGCGATCCTTCTGCCTCAGTCTTCCAAGTAACTGGAACTACAGGCGCGCGCTACCACGCCCGGCTAATTTTTTTATTTATTGTAGAGATGAGGTCTCGCCTGCCCCAAGCGGGTCTCGAACCCACGGGCTCAGGCAATCCACTCACCTCAGCCTCCCAAAGGCGTGGGATTACAGGCTGAGCCGCCGAGCCCGGCTCACTTAAAGTTTTTTTATGACAAACACGCAGAAGGCCCTTCCATGGTGCTTTTGAATCGGGAGCTTAGATAATGGTTAGCATGAATGTAGCAAGAAATCTGGGCCTCGGAGCAAGCTGCTGCTTGATCCTAACCACCATCTCCTCCCAGCCCTCTACCTCCCCGACTGCATTGTTCCCACCTGGAGTCAAATCCAAACCTATCTTGTGCTCAGGATGAATCCGGGGCGTGTCACCACACCCTGGAATCAGTGACAGCTTGTTCAGTTGGGACCATCCCTGTTTTCAAGCTGGAAGTCCCGTATCCCAGGAAACCCTTCAGTCCAGGGCAGAACGGGATGGTGGATCACATGCAGTGTCTCCTCCCCTGGGGCACTTCAGCTGGACTGCCAGCACCACCCTGTCCACACAGGTGGAGAATGAAGGTGTTTTTATGAGTGAAAGACTCTGGAAGGTCACTAGGTCTTGAGAGCCCCAAGAATCCCTCTGGTGACCTTTCTATAGTGCAGACCCCCTAGGCCTGACCTGACCTATTGAACCAGAATCTGCCAGATTCGAACCTGAGGGTTGTACTCCTATTCATGGGCCAAGCATTTGAGAGCCTCAACCCAGATCAAAAGAGGGGATGAGACTCACCCAAGGACCCCAGTGGGATGGGGAGGAGGTGTCTGTTGTCCACCTCCTTTTCCTTTATTTTTTCAGTATCTCCTAATTAGAGGCATAGAACGCCCCCCAACTCACCCCATTAAAGGCAATCGGATCCTGCCACTCAACACAAAGGCAGGGCCGTGGGGAGCTGGTAACTGAAGTTTATTTTCTGTTTTTGTCTATCTGTAAGGCCACTTGGTCAAAACCGACTACCCTGATTGTGTGTGTGCGCACGAGAAAATCCTCCATATGTTAATACAAGAGTCCCATCTCCCCTTCCTCTTCCATAACACCCTCTCTCCCCTACTCCTTTGGCCATTTTCTGGTCCAAGTACCTGTCCCTCCCTGTTCTGCCCCAAGCCCCCAGAGTTTTTAAGATGCTGTATCAGCTGGGAATTTTTAGGTTCAAGCAACAGATACCCCGACTTGCGTCACGAATGGTAGCTCACAAGAATCAATAAAGGGCTGAAAGACCAGGTGTTGGGAAGAGGATTCAGACATCAGTGACTGACAGGCCGTTGCTTTTAGGAGATGCTGTCAGAATCCAGGAACCCCAGCCGGGCTCGGTGGCTCAGCCTGTAATCCCGCGCCTTTGGGAGGCTGAGGTGAGTGGATTGCCTGAGCCCGCGGGTTCGAGACCCGCCCGGGCAACGAGACCTCATCTCTACAATAAATCAAAAAATCAGCCGGGCGTGGTAGTGCATGCCTGTAATTCCGGCTACTTGGAAGGCTGAGGCAGAAGGATCGCCGGAGCCCAGCAGGTCGAGGCTGCGGTGGCCGGGAGCGGCCACTGCACTCCAGTCTGGGCGACAGAGTGAGACTCCAACTCAAAAAACAAAAACAAAAACAAAAACAAAAGAATCCAGGAACCCCGACAGTGTCCCTATCTCAATTCAGCCTTCCCAGAGGGAGAGTCCGATTGGCAGAGACTGTCTTACACACTCGACCCCCAGAGAAGGTCTGGGACCTTGATGGACAGTCCCACCAGAACTGCCCGTCCAGGAGAGGGATAGAGTCCCCAAGGAAAATCAGAGTACTCAGCCTCATCCTAGCACTAATGTCTGTGAATATTGGAACTTCAGGTGTTTCCATGAGGATACTTTTGGCTGCCTGTAACAGAAAATCCAATTAACCATGACTTCGGCCATGAAAGTGGTTCCAGTTTTTACAAAATAAGTAGCCTGGAGGTGGAAGGTGCTAGAGTGGGTTTGGCAACTCGTTGGCATCAAGCACCTTTTTAACCCTTTTATTTTGTCATCCTTAGCGCGTCGGTGATGATCCCTTCATAGCCCCCAAAAGGCTGCTGTAGCTGCAAATATTGCTCCCTGCCCTGACAGTGTCTAAAACAGTGAGCAAGGGAAAGTCAAGCAGTTTTGAAAAGCCTCCTCCCTCATCTCTCTCCTTTCAGGGAGTAATATTTTTCACTGAAGGATTTTCTGTGGTCAGGACAGGGGACACATACAAATCTGTAAACTAATAATGAGTAAACAGGAACCAGGTCTCCAGGGGGAGGGTCAGCAAACTGTGGCCCATGGGCCAGACCTGGCCTGCCTCATGTAAAAAATGCAAATAACATCTTATTGGAATACAGCCACAGCCATTCATCTTTGCGTTGTCCAAGGCTGCTGTCACGCTACAATGGCAGGGCTGAATAGTTGCAACAGTGGCCACAATAAAACCTACCCTGTTTCCTGTGTGGCCCTTTACAGGGCGAGTCTGCTGAGCTCAACCTCTGGGTTGGGCCCTAGACGGACGAGACAAAACAGGGTTCAGCTAGCAAGAACAGAAAGTGGGCCGGGCACGGTGGCTAACCCCAGTGATGTAAATAACATTTTGTGATGGAGGCCAAAGTGGAAGGATCGCTCGAAATTCGACAGGAGTGATGGCTCAGGCCTGTAATCCCAACTCTTTGGGAGACAGAGGTGAGAGGATTGACTGAGCCCAGGAGTTCGAGACCAGCCTGGGCAACTTGGCAAGATCTCGTCTCTACAATAAATCAAAAACGCAGCCCGATGTGGTGGTGTGCGCCTGTAGCTCCAGCTACTTGTAAGGCTGAGGCAGAAAGAGTGCCTGAGCCCAGAAGCTCGAGGCAACGGCGGCCTTGAGCATGCCACTGCACTCCAGCCTGGGCGACAGAGTGAGACACCGACTCAGGGAAAAAAAAGCTGAAGTTCCTCCTCCACTCCGGCCTGTGTCCCTCGGGTACCCACAGTGCACTACAGTTGGAGGTTACTCTAACTCTGCTTCTCTTCCCAACAGGCCTGTGCGTCATGATTGCAGCTTCCATCTACACAGACAGGCGCAAAGACTTTCACGAGACCAACCGGATTCACTACTCCCCGACCTCGGGGGGGGCGTTCGGCTACGCCTTCGTCCTGGCTTGGGTGGCCTTCGCCTTCACCTTCATCAGTGGCATGATGTATCTGATACTGAGGAAACGCAAATAGGGCCTCCGCCAGCTGGGTCGCCTCAGCCGTAGGGCAGGAGCCACTTCCAGATCACCGTTTTGTATATAATCATGTTTTTGTGGTTTTTCTAGCAAACATATTGTTTCCTTTAAAAGCCAAGAGAGAGAGAGAGTTTTTGCATTCTTGAGATCAGAGGATATTCTGGCATTCAGAACTCCTGCCCACTCGAAAGTCAGCAAGGCAGGAATCCAGCGAGGCTCGAATCCCAAAGCGCTCAGCAGAATGATTCTTAACCACGGGGCTGTGAGGGGGCGAGACAAGAGGCCGAGAAAGCCGGGTCTCCGTGGAAATGCCTCCTGGGCCCCTCCTCCGCTCAGCTTTCCTCCCCGAATCTCTGCTGGTGGGGGAGAGGGCATGAGAAAGGGCCCTGGCAAGGGATGCCAGCTTTCCCAAGTTCCAGGTGAGATGTAGGTGTGGCCCCTGGTATTCTGTCTACTCCCAAACCAGAGCCCAAACCTCCCACAGTGGGCTGGGTCAGTAAAGCCCCACTCAGATTTCCTGACAAAGCCACCTGCCACCTGCTGCCTTAGGGATGATGATCCTTAACCTGGGTGTAAGACTTAGACTTGCCCTAAGGCAAAAAGTCTCCACCTGGAATGTCTTAGCTCTCCTTTCAAAATGCAGACCATAGGGCCCCTCCCCAGACCCACAGAACCAGAGTCTCAAGGGATGGGGTCCTGGAACCTGTCTTTCTATCATGCCCCTTTGTGTGATGCTTAGAAGCAGGGAAGTTGGGTACTGCAGTCCCAGAGCCAGGTGGCCAGAGCTGCCTCACAAGTGCCAGCGATCTCTTTACATCGAGAGCAGGATCTGGATCTAGCCTCCATCGTGGCCAAAACCTTGGCCTCCATACCCGCAGCTGTTTCCATCCGGGCCGCCCACACACTGATCCCAAGCCCTGCAAACCCACAGCCAGACACCTTGGGTGGGGAGGAGAGCAGCCTCCTTCCCACCCTATCCCGGAAGTTCTCTCCCTTTCTAGTCCTGCTCTGCATTCTAAGGCTGACTGGCCTCTGTCCCCTATGTCTGGAGCCTGAGAGGACCTACCCACCATTCATTCATTCATTCATTCATTCATTCACCAGCATAAATCGTGGCCTGCTTGTGTGTACCAGGCCCAGGGCTACTCTCTCCAGACAGTCTCTCCCCTCCTGGGGCTCATAGCCTGGTGGAGGAGACAGATTAGTAACCAATTAGGAAAACAGATTACCCACCGACATGGAGGCCATGAGGAACACCACCAAGAATTCGAATGGAGGCTGCGGCATGGGAGGGAGCCTGCCTGGTGCCTGCTTACTTTTAAATGCTCCTGGAGGCATTTAGATCAGTCTAAATATAGCTCCATTCACTCCAGGCAGATGACATTTACTGAGCCATTCCTGTCTGTGTACATCCAGAGAACACTCCCGTGGAAGGCCCCACAGAGCTGGGGTTCTCAAGCTTTAGTAGTCCTGGTGCTGCCTGAGAGAGTCCTCAGCAGGGTTGGGTGAATGACTGAGACTGAGCTTTGGGGGTTTGCCCTTCGGGACACCTGGAAACAGCCCAGGAGAGCAGCTCTCGCCCCCACGATGTCCTCTTCCACTTGTGTTGTGAGCAGGATGCTGGGAGGTGTCCTGGGGTGGGGTGTGGGGCCTTGTGCTATTTAAACCCTTTTGCACACTTTTGCACTTGACCTTCTGCTACGTGGCGTGACGACTTGCCATCAGCTCAGTTCCGGTGGAGCTGGGGAGGCATCTGGTGGAGTAGTTTAGCGCCACTGTGGACATCTCTTCAGTGCAGGATTGGGTCTTTTCATCTACTCATTCATTCGTTCATTCGTTTTCAACAAATGGTAGTAAATGTTTACTAAGCTCCAGGCACTGTGTGAGACTCTGAACATACAGGGGTGAGCAAATTCAGAGATCCTCCCCGTCCTCATGGAGCTTGCAGTCTCTGAGACACGTCCCCTTCTTCACAGAGAGGCCACCAGCCCAGGACAGGGTGACGTGGGGCCAGGCAGAATAAATGGTCACCTCCTGCCTGAATGGAAAACAACCAGCAGGCACGTTGTGGGTGGGAATGTGGGTGGACACCCCTGGGGGTCTGTGGGATGTGACCCAAGCCTCATGGAGGAACCTGGGTCACCAGTTCCCTTGAAACTCTCTGTTGACCCTGGGGGCTTTTCGGTAATTTTTTGGTTGTCGTGATGGAAGCAAGTAAAACACCTTAGAACCAGAGATCTGGAAGGCCTAACCCCCCAAGCAATATATAAACTCCCTTCACAAAAGAACTATTGATGCATGTGAAGTGACCCTGGGGACTTTCCTGGCTGATGTCACTTCTCTAGAATATTCAGTGCCATACCCATCTGCGATACTAAGGCTTTTGGAGACATGGGAGATGCCTGAGTGTGACATGCATTTGGGAAGCTGGAAAGAGAGGATGGCATCAGGGAGAAAGCATCCAACCTTCTTACCTGTAGGTAGAATCAGCCCTCACTGGGAGCTTATCAAGTGACTCAACAATGATGAAATTAGCTAAGACATTCAAGAAGCAAATACTAGGACCAAATATTATTCCTGGCATCAACTGTATTTGAAGGAACTGTAGTTTGCGCATCTTATGACATTTTTTAAAGTACTGTAATTCACTGAGGGGCTATGTCATGGAGACAGACTAACTCATTTTGTTATTTGCATTAAAATTATTTTGGGGCTCTGTTCAAATGAGTTTGAGAATGCTTAACTTGCTGCTCTGTGTGCTTGTGTAGACCCCTATCTGAATATGGGAAAGTTAGAGACCTCTCCACCCCAACACTCCCCACTGCAGTAGGTGTACCTGTGTGCACACCAAGTCCCAGGACACTCTGTGTTGACCGGGATGAAGAAACCCAGAACTCCAAACCATATATAAACACACTAAACATAGTGGCCTAGACAGAAGCTGTTATCATAGCTGAAAATCTGTCTGTGGGCCTGGTGCGGTGACTCACACTTGTAATCGCAGCGTTTTGGGAGGCTGAGGTGAGAGGATCATTTGAGGCCAGGGGTTTGAGACCAGCCTGGACCACAGAGTGAGACACCACCTCAATTTTAAAAAGTAAATTAAAAGGGGGGATCACTAGCCCCTAATAGTTTAAAGTTTACTTATAATGGAGCAAGTTGGACAATTTTGTCATGATGGGGAAATGCCAGGGAAAGTACTAAAGGTTAATCTTTAATCTTGAATCTTGGTTTGAGGATGCATGTGATTTTAGGGTAGTTCGATACTTTTCACTCAGAGTGCCTTTGAAATAGTTCATTTTCTATGTTTTGTATAATCTGAAACTGTACATGAAAAATAAAGCTTAAAATCAAATTGCCCAGAGCAGAATCTAATGTTCCAACTCTGACGGCATCTAGAGGATGAGTTTGGGGTGACAAGGAATCGGCCGGTTTCTCGTTGAGGTGAAAACGGATTTGATAGCGAGTAGCCAGTGACTGATAATTTGTCATGGGACCATCTCCCTCTGCCTCTTTAATGAGGCTAGCTTTGTGGCCACACCACCCATGCAGTTGCAAGCAGTCCCATGCGACCAAGGGCCCCATGCTGGGTTGGATGATCTGCTGGCCGTCTTAAAATTACTGCTATTTGAGTGGGCAGCACTGTATTTTCATTTCGCAGTGGTCCATTTGTGTCCTTCATTGTATCATCAGTACAAACGGATTCTTCATTTCTATTTCATAAAGACTCCTACTCGAACAGTTGGGGTCATGGCCAGGCGCAGTGGCTCAAGCCTGTAACCCCAGCACTTTGGGAGGCCGAGGTGAGGGGATTGCCTGGGCCCACAGGTTTGAGAACAGCCTGGGCAACTTGGTGAGACTTCATCTTTACAATTAAAAAAAAAGGATGGGGTTATGAGGAGCCAGGCACAGTGGCTCACACCTGTAATTCCAGCACTTTGGGAGGCCAAGGCAACAGGATTACCTGAGCCCACGGGTTTGAGATCAGCCTGAACAACATGGCGAGACCTCATCTCTACAATAAATCCAGAAGCTAGCCAGGCATGGCAGCACGTGCCTGTAGACCCAGCTACTTACTTCCAACTAAAAGACAAACAAATAAATAAAAGGTGGGGTCATGATGAAAACCAGACTATCTTATAGCTTACTACTGGAAACCTGAAAATTCAGCCAGAGAAGGAGAGGGAGAGAGAGAGAGAAAGAGACAGAGACAGAGAATTTTCATCTGAGGAATGTCAAATGTAGTGAAAGCAGCTATCATTCTAGGAGAACACACACTTCCTTACTGCCACACAGGCATTTCAAACCAAAATCTCCAAGGTTTACTGTCTGCATTCTTTGTGTTTCTCGGTTGATTCTTTCTAGCTCGTGTGGCAGGTGGATGGAGGCCATCCCAGAACACTCAATTTTATATTCCATCCAAGAATTCAGTCTCTCATTCATTCATTCATTTGCCAAATATCTGTATAACCACTATGGCGCCGGCATTGTGCTAGGTGTCCTGGACCTCGTGTCCCTGCCCCGATCTAGAGGATTTCAGGCCCAGCCCCAAGTCTCCAGGAGTGGGGTTCCAAGGGGCTCAGGCGTGAGTCACGTGCTCACTCGTTGCCTCAACACTCCACTGGCGTCGTGAGCGAAGCCAATTACACAAGTGTAAACGATGGAGGTGGGAGGAGGGGACAATTTGTGGGAGGTTTCTACCGAAAAGGGTCCGGCCAGATGATCTCACCTGATCTAATCTAGGGGCCACGGGCCAAACCTGTCCAACTGCCTGTTTTTGTTTTGCCTGTGTACTAAAAATGTTTTGTGGGTTTTTTTTTTTTTAG